GCGCCCTGCCACCCTACAGAAAAAGCTCATTTCGGCCACCTGTATCCGGGATCTTGCCCTTTCGGTCATGACCCAAAGCTCATGACCATAGGTGAGAGTAGGAATGTAAATCGACCAGTAAATCGAGAGCTTCGCCTTACAGCTCAGCTCCTTCTTCACTACGATGGACTGGTACATCGACTGCATTACTGCAGAAGCTGCACCAATCCGCCTGTCAATCTCCCGTTCCAGCCTTCCCTCACTCGTGAACAAGACCCCAAGATACTTGAACTCCTCCACTTGAGGCAGGAACTCTCCACCAACCTGAAGGGAACAAGCCACCCTTTTCTGACTGAGAACCATGGCCTCGGACTTGGAGGTGCTGATTCTCATCCCAGCTGCTTCACACTTGGCTGCAAACCGCCCCAGTGCACGCTGGAGGTCCTGGATTGATGGAACCAACAGGACAACGTCATCTGCAAAAAGAGGAGATGAGATCCTGTGGTCCCCAAATTGGACTTTATTCTCTTTTAGTTAATTTCTATTTTAGTTCCTAAATGTAATGACACCCAATAGTAGGTGAGAGAGAATTGGTATTTCGATTTTTTGTATGTCCTGCACATATGGTGAATTGACAATAAAATCCTTGAACCTTGAACCTGAATTTGACTCTGGAACGTAACACACAGTTACTCTCCTAAAACTAATTCCTCTGAACAAGTTGCAAGTGATAGGTTTCAACAGATTCAGTTAACATAAAACTAATTTTTTCACCTCCAGGCAGTGAAACAATACATTCAGCAGTCCTTACTGGAGAAAGAGCTGCTCTACTTTGGATATGAAGCCTTTGGAATCACCTTTGTAGATCCAGTGAGTGAATAAACCATTTGTTTTTCATCAAACCCTGCTCATTTCATTCATGGTGAAAGATAAAGGGTTTGTGTTTGCTATTTTACTGGACTGTACTGTCATTTATATTCAGGACACATGGACTCCTGAGGATGTCATGCCTCAGAAACTGAGAGAAAAACAGAAGTAAGGTTTAGAACACTGCCACAAACACATCTGTGCAGGGTAAGTATGAATTTTCAGTTCAAGTGATGTTCTGTACTTGGTGTGTCTCAGAGCTGACAGAGAGACTGCAGCGAGGATCACAGAGGAAATAGGAAACCTGATGAAGGAGATTGAGACTCTGGTTGAGGAGAAGAAGAAGGACTCTTTTGATGAGGCGAAAATGATAGTACCAGAGGAAGGTAAACATTTCACCCAAAGAACAAGTCAAGCAATTAGATGTTAATGAGATGCAGGGCTGTGCCCGACTAAGAATCTTCAGTCGACCCGGATTCGGCTTTTCAGTGCAACTATTCATTCTTTTATATATACAGTCATGGCCAAAAATATTGGCACCCTTGTATTTCTGTCAGATAACACATCACTTCTCCTAGAAAACTGTTGCAATCACAAATTCTTTGGTTTTTCATGTTTATTTCTTGTGTAAAAAAAAGCCAAATCTGATCAATTCCACACAGAGATCCAAACATGGACTGGACAGAATTATTGACACCTTTTCAAAACCATCAGAAATGGTTGTATTTCAAGCACGTGATGCTCCTTTAATTTGTAATGAAACTTACCTGTAGCAACCAACAAGTGTTGGCAACTTAGAAATCAGACTTGCAGCCAGATAAAATGGAGAAAAGTTACCTTTGTGTCATATGGACCACACTGAGCATGGAGAAAAGAAGGAAGAGCAAAGAACTGTCTGAGGATCTGAAAACCACAATAGTGGAAAAGCCTGGATGATCTCAAGGCTCCAAGTCCATCTCCAAAGATCTGGCTGTTCCTGTGTCCACTGTGTGCAGCATTGTCAGGAAGGTTACAGCCCATGGCGCTATAGCTGACCTACAGGACCAGGGTGTAACAGTGTCAGCTCGCACTATCCATCGTCATCTGAATGACAAGGGACACCATGGTAGGAGACCCAGGGGGACCCATTGCTGAAACAGAGACATAAAAAAGCCAGACTGGAGTTTGCCAAAACTTACCTGAGGAAGCCACAGTCCTTCTGGGAGAATGT